TTGCTGCTACTATAACTTACTACGTCGATCGTCGTTCTTTTTTGCATCCTAACATCTAACAGACACATTAAGAACAACCCAACCTAAACAGTAGTAGCAATGGCCGATTTGCCCAGTGACAAAGTTGACGAAGCTAAACAAGTCTTCGAATGTTTCGATAAAAAATATGAAGTAAAATGTTTATTTTTTCTTTTCTAAAAATTTACATACATATATAGATTGTTTTTTTCTATTGAATAGGGTAAAGTCGATAACTTTTATATTGGAGATATGCTCCGTTCAATGGGTTTATATCCAACACAAGCTGAATGTGAAAAACGTGGACAAACAAAAAAAGCCGGAGAAAAAACATTAAAAGTTGAAGAATTTTTACCAATTGTTTCCGAATTTTACAAAATGCCAGCAAAAAATTTCGGTACATATGAAGATTTTATGGAAGGTTTAAAATTATTCGATAAAGAAAGTAATGGTATGATGTCATTAGCTGAACTTACACAAGTACTTGTTGCTATGGCTGAAAAACTTGATCCACGTGTTGTTGAAGAAATTCTTCGCTCAACAGAAACAAAAGATGATGCCGAAGGCATGTTTAATTATGATGTATTTGTTAAAGCACTTCTTAAAGGTCCATTTCCAAATGAATCATAGAAGAGATTAACATTTGAAAAGAACAAACAGTAACATTAGAAAAGACAAAACATCAATTTTGTCACTTGTCTTGTTTTGCCTACCTTTCTTTTCTTTTTTTCTTTTTATACATGTTTATTCCTATTTATCATTATTTCCCATCTCTCTTTTTTTTTATACATACACACAAGCAAACAAAAATAAGTTCTCTTCACTTATTATGCAAAGCAAGAAGAAGAAAAAAAAATAACCGAAGATTTTATGAACGATTATTATTATTATTATTACTATTATTATTATTATTTTCTCGTTCATTTAAATTATATTTGTCTTTATGCGTGTATTTTACATCATTCTATTTTTGTGTTAAAGCAACTAATTTAGTTGCTAATGCTTCTTGAGAATATATATTAGAATAAGGTTAAAACAAATAACAATATTAGAAGAAAAAAAAGAATTTAACCCTACCTTTAACAAAAAAATAACTTTTCTTTTTAAATATATAAATCTATTGTCTTTTAATCAATTTACCAAAGTATGATAAAGAGAAGAAAAAAACCACGAATCAGCATATTTCGATTGATTAGCAAAAAATAACATTTTTACTAATTCTTTCTGAATACGTAGTAACTTACGAAAGAAAAACATTACTCAAAAGGAAAAATAAAGAAACCATTAACCTTTCGGGCCCACAAAGCTATTGTTCGTTGTTTTTTCAAGTCAAAAGACAGACTATCCTTTTTCGGAGAAAATTTTTTATCAGTAAAAAATTGAAGTGTGGCCTACCAACAACTTCCCAACACCTTTGGTGTTATACAAATGATTTTTATTCAATAGGTGGGAATGAATCATTTCTTGGATTTTAACTTAATGTTTGTTGGTTTTTTCTTTTTCTTTGTGTACGTATATCTCATACACATTACATTGTTCATTGGATAACTTTCTAAAACCGTAATTTTATCTACTAATGTAATCACGCCCTAACTAGTATAAATATAGACAAAAAAATTAAATTCTTCTAATTAATTTACATATGGGTCGTACTAGACTCGCAAAATACCATTGGTATGTGATAACATGAGAATATTATCTGATGGTCTGATAAAAAATTTTATTTTTTTATGATAATCAATAATCAAGTCTAAGATTATCAAGGTTTCTCTTGAAGTTATCATGTATTACAAATGTATGTATGTGTATGTATGTAAGCAATGCCTGAATGACTCAGATTCAGAAGGATCGAAAAAAAAACGACGATGCAAGTGAATGCAAGGTTTCAAAGGTGAAGTGCACGATTGTAATGTAAAAGAAAGAGCACATCATACACATCAAAGGTGTGTTCTTCATTGGCAAAAAGAAGAAAAAAAAAAAAAGAAAAAGTATGTTAAATAAAGCTTCAATAAATGATGATGGTGACCATAATCAACAGCATCAACAACAACAACAATATGTCGTCATAGGTGATATACTTCTTCATTCGGATTCAAAAACAGCAATCATTCAAGTTGTTATTCATTCATTAAAAACATCGTCGTCATTAACATCTGATAAACCAATTATTCAACGACAATCAGCAAATTCTTCTGGAATAAATAATTCTCAAGCAATAGTTTCATGTGATTTAAAAAATATACCACCTATTAAAGTAACTGAGGAACAAGTCAAATCACGATCATCAAAAAAACTTGTACGTATACAAAAAGCTGGTATGGCATTAGTTAAAGATTTCAAATCAAAAGTCATTCATACAAATCAATCTGAACCAAAAACAACAAATACTAAGAATACGAATTCTGATACCGAACAAACTTATTTCTAGATACTTAATTTTCTTTTTTTTTGGTATATATTCAGATAAATAAAATTTGTTTAAATCAGAACTGATAAAGAAGGAAATAAATATGTCAAACGAGATATATTTTATGTCATTCATGCAGAAGTAAAATAAATTCATTCAAGCAATCATTCTGAAATTTATTCATACAAAAATAGTAATAACCATATATAAGAAAATGAATCGATGAACAACTGTATACCAATTGATTGAGCTGTAAGAAAAGTATTTGCAATAGCTATAACTTCTGTTATCGATGCATTATTATTACAATTTGGTTTATTACATACAAGTGTAAGACTTGAAACTTGTTCTGTAAATTTTCGATTATTAGGATAAGCTAATCCTAATGATATATTAATACCTAAATCATCGGATGATAATAAATCATTACAACCTTTAGTCATTGTATGTAAACCTAATGTTAATGTACAATAACCAGAACATAAACTTGTCTGTTCGTTTGATATCTCATTCATACATGGAATTTTAGTACCGGAAGATATTGATTCATCATAGAAGATTGGTTGAATACGTTTTAATATATCTTGATTAGCTATATATACTGAATAAATAGTTTTTAATTCTAAAGAATGAAAATTTGAGTTCAAAAGAACGTTTTCATTGAAAATATTTACCATGATATGCACACTGAAATATAATTTTAATAAAAAAAAATTATGAATTTTTTTATAACTTACATCATTGATTTGTGTTCGACAATCTATTATAAATTGATCGATTGATGATAAGGATTAAGATTAAAATACTTACAATAATTAATATTTAATTCATGAGGATTTGTTTTCGAAAATTTCATTTTTAATTGTCGAAATCTTATTGCTGTTATATCAGTATTAAAATAAGATAAATAATCTTCAACTAAATCAGCTCGTATTAATGATGAATTATCATTTGCATCAGCTGTTGTTAAACTATATGATACAAATTTCGTATTAAAATCCATAGTTAAACGAGCTTCACATATTTTAAAATGATCTTGTTTACAATCGGAACTTATTTGAAAAATATCTGACATTGTTTGATTCTGTCTACAATTAATTTGACATATCTGTGTTCGATTTAATAATGTATCCGGTAATATTTCATACGATTGAATATATTTCAAGAGAATCAAATACAATAGATTCATTAGATCAAATTTCTCTCATTTACACTTGGCGCACAATAATTAAATATAAAAGACACATTTTCGTTTATTTCGAATCATCATAACTTATTATTGTTTTGTTTTTCATATAGACGAAAAATTATGATTTGTCCTATTATTATCAAATATGGTTTTTTTTCTCTCTTTCTTTCTATAGCAATACAGACGAAAAATATTTATCAGATTCAAGGTTATTACCTTGTAATCTGTGTAAGTGATCTATCTCCGAAACTGACTTTATTATGATAAAAATTTAAATGAATAATTTTTTCACATCCAGGGGAATACAGTTGGTAATTCATATCTATTATAATAATAGGATTTTGTCTTTATGTTTATTCAATGACCGATATCGATAAATAGCGTGGATATGCATAGGAGAGAGAGAGAGAGAAAAAAACCAACTATAGCCTTCTCTTTTTCTCTCTTTCCTTTACCTTCTTGTTTCTTCTAGATTATTCTACTTGTTTCGTTTAGCTTGCATATATAAAGCGCTGTTCATACGTGCATTTAACTTGCATTTCTCTCTCGTCAAACACTCTTAGTTTACATTTCCTACGCGTTAAATTCCTCAATCGTCTATACATACAACAAATATTAATGTCGGATAAAATGGAACACGAAGGTGGTGATGTTGAAACATTTGCTTTTCAAGCTGAAATTGCACAATTAATGTCATTGATTATCAATACATTTTATTCAAATAAAGAAATTTTCTTACGTGAACTTATTTCAAATGCATCGGATGCTTTGGATAAAATTCGTTATGAATCACTTACGGATACATCAAAACTTGATACCGGAAAAGATTTATATATTAAAGTAATCCCAGATAAAGCTAGCAATACATTAACTATCATTGATACCGGTATTGGTATGACAAAAGTATGTTAGTCTATCATTATGAAAAAAACAAAATTTATCGATTTTTTGTTTTGTAGGCTGATCTTGTAAATAATTTAGGTACAATTGCTCGATCAGGTACCCGTGCATTTATGGAAGCACTTCAAGCTGGTGCTGATATTTCTATGATTGGTCAATTTGGTGTTGGTTTTTATTCATGTTATTTAGTTGCTGATAAAGTATTAGTTACATCAAAAAATAATGATGATGAACAATATTTATGGGAATCAAGTGCTGGCGGTTCATTTACCATGAAACGTGATACAACCGGTGAACCACTTGGTCGTGGTACAAAAATCGTTATGTATCTTAAAGAAGATCAAACTGAATATCTTGAAGAAAAACGTGTTAAAGAAGTTATTAAAAAACATTCACAATTTATTGGTTATCCAATAAAATTACTTGTCGAAAAAGAACGTGATAAAGAAATTTCGGATGATGAAGCTGATGAAGATGAAAAAAAAGATGGTGAAACAAAAAAAGATGAAGATGAAACGAAAAAAGATGAAGCTAAAATTGAAGAAGTTGAAGATGATGAAGATGAGAAAAAAGATACTGATAAAAAGAAGAAAAAGAAAATTAAAGAAAAATACACCGATGAAGAAGAACTTAATAAACAGAAACCAATTTGGACACGTAATCCCGAAGATATTTCAACTGAAGAATATGCTGAATTTTATAAACAATTAACCAATGATTGGGAAGATCATTTAGCTGTTAAACATTTTAGTGTTGAAGGTCAACTTGAATTTCGTGCATTATTATTTATTCCAAAACGTGCAGCAGTTGATTTATTTGAAAATCGTAAAACCAAAAATTCAATTAAATTATATGTACGTCGTGTATTTATTATGGAAAATTGTGAAGAATTAATGCCAGAATATTTAAATTTCATCAAAGGTGTTGTTGATTCAGAAGATTTACCATTAAATATTTCACGTGAAATGTTACAACAAAATAAAATTCTTAAAGTTATACGAAAAAATTTAGTTAAAAAATGTGTTGAATTAATTGAAGAAATTTCAGAAGATAAAGAATCATTTAAGAAATTTTATGAACAATTTTCACGTAATCTTAAACTTGGTATTCATGAAGATACAAATAATCGTGCTAAACTTGCTAGTTTCTTACGTTATACTTCATCAACATCAGGTGATGAATTAACATCACTCAAAGATTATGTATCACGAATGAAAGAAAATCAAAAAGATATTTATTATATAACTGGTGAATCTCGACAAGTAGTTGAACAATCTGCTTTTGTTGAACGTGTACGTAAACGTGGCTTTGAAATTATTTATATGACTGAACCAATTGATGAATATTGTGTACAACAATTGAAAGAATTTGAAGGCAAAAAACTTATTTCAGTCACCAAAGAAGGTTTAGAATTACCTGAAGATGAAGATGAAAAGAAGAAGTATGTTTTTTTCAAAAATTTTAATTATTCATCTATTGTCTTTTTGTCTTTTCTAGACGTGAAGAAGATAAAGAAAAATTCGAGCAATTATGTAAAGTCATGAAAGATATTTTAGACAAGAAAGTTGAAAAAGTTGTTATTAGTAATCGACTTGTTTCATCACCATGCTGTATTGGTAAGTTTAATTAAACGAACAAAAACATGAAATTTTTATCTTCATATTCTTAGTTACATCACAATATGGTTGGTCAGCTACTATGGAACGTATTATGAAAGCTCAAGCTTTACGTGATACATCAACTATGGGTTATATGGCTGCTAAGAAACATCTTGAAATCAATCCTGATCATTCAATTATCAAGACACTTAAATCTAAAGTTGATCAAGATAAAAATGATAAATCCGTTAAAGATTTAGTTACATTATTATATGAAACGTCACTTTTAGCAAGTGGTTTTGCTCTTGAATTACCACAACAACATGCTGATCGTATATTTCGTATGATTAAACTTGGTTTAGGTATTGATGAAGAAGATGCTATTGAAGATAGTCATGCAGCTGCTGGTGATTCAACTTCTGATATGCCACCACTTGAAAATGGTGGTGAAAATTCAGCTGCCGTTTCAGCTGAAGCTTCACGAATGGAAGAAGTTGATTAAATAACACAAAAAAAACAAAAAAAAAAATGTTTTTTTTTCTTTTACGTTGTATTGTTATTAGTTTATTGTTGAGTGTTTAACATCAAACGATGAGGTGAATAATAAAAATAAAATAAAAAAACTTTGAAACATCATCATATCCTGTTATTGTTGTTGTTTATGTCTATATTTTTAATTCAGTCAACATATTCAGTTGCAGATAATGATGGTCTTGGATAATTTGAATATGCATCTAGTTTGTTATGTGTTATTCGTAGAAAATATCGAGATAAATTGTCTGCACCTTTAAGATAATGTAAAATAATAATTGCAAGAAGAAAAAGAGCAAAAAGAAGGCCAAATAGAACGAGAAGAATTATTTCGATTGTTCCAAATGTATATGTACTACAATAGAGTATTTTTAAATAAGGTTTTGGTAATGAAATATTCTTTGTATCAATTAAAGTAAATGTTAAATTAGTTTCGATTGTTTTAAGAATATAAACATAGGATGTTTTATTTGAAGAATTACCATTAAATAAACGATTCCATTGATCAGATGACCAATCACAAAGACTTGTATCAGTTTTATATGGATTATCATTAAGAGAAAGAACATCAGTAAGCATATATGAATCTGATTGGGATTTACTCCAAAGTAGAATAGGTATTTGAGAAGAAGTATAAGGTAATGTTGTTTGATTATTGATAATAAAAGTTGAATTCGTGACTAGAATACCTATACGTATTTCATTGATTGATGATGAAAAATTGAAGGATTCGCTAAAATTAACAGTAATATTAATTGGTGATGAGCGATTAATAATAACCAATAGAGTAAGTGGTGAAGTTGTATTACTACTATCTAAATCTGATGATGGAACATTCTCGACATTTTGTAAACGTGCACATTGTAAACTTGAATTCGTATTAGTAAATATAAGAGGAAATTGTTGGCATAGAATTGTTAGCGAATTTTGTGCTAAAAAAATAATATATATATATAAAGATGTAGAGTAATATATAGATTCATTACTGTCAAATAAAACTTTGAAGTGCATTGGATATATTGAACAGATAATGATAGAGAGAATAAGAAGTATTGTCATTTAAATTCGAGATTGACTTCTTTTGTTTTTATATGATATTTTGACGAGTAATTTAAAGTGATATATAAAACAGTACATACAATTTGATTTTGTATTAAAACGACTCACCGTTTCGCATGAGCAATTATTCGATATGTGACAAAAGTAACTGAAGCAAGGAAATGCAAGTCTGTTATATATATAAACTATATTGATTTTCAATGAACAACATGGTCTAGTTTGCATCTGATAAATTATGCCCGTAAATAATTAAGCTATAGTACAAATAAAATTGATTTGTTATGTTTTCAAAATATTTCTTTTCTATTCCAAGATCTGTATAGAAAAAAAAACCATGTTCTACAAGTATATTTAATATCTATTAGTTTGTAATTGTTTCTTTCGTGCATACTATTTGTTACATATGTATATTTTTTTTCTTCACACCGTATTTTCATTTCTAATGAATATTTAAATCACGTAATTTTTCAAATATTAACAGAATGAAAAAGCAAAAAAATATTTAATCATCATCAAATTTTCTGTTACTGTGAAATTGATATTTTCAACTGATAAGCTTGAATTTGGGTGGACATGAAATAAGTTTGTGTAAGATTGATTTGTCTTGATAGATTATTTTCGAATATATACAAGGCTATATTTATCAATTCATGTATTCGATTTAAAACCTTGCTTTTTTATCTATAAATAAATATCATATAAACAATGTTTATATTTATTCAATCATATGTCAAAATAATATAGTCTCTAAATTTAACTTAAGTGATTGCCTGTCACTACACATAAATAAGCCATTTGTTTTCATTATTTAAACTTAAAAATATGTCTCCGTATAACAGTGTATTATGTTTGGCCTTCATTCAAATGTATGATTTATTTCGAATACTCAATTGTCAAATACAAGGTAATACTGTTGCGGACTATTTTTATTATTTTATCAAGTATAGGTTGTGTAGTACTTACCTTGATAAGAACCATGTCAAATAAAAATTTCATGTCTGATTGATGTTAGACAGATAAAAATATATATCACAGCTGAAAATTAGATTTTTTTTTTGAGAAATGTGATGCTGAATCAAATATGAGAAGTTGGAAGTTTTTAGCATATTTCTAGTACAATAAATATTATTGATTATACAACAAAAAAAATAACAAATTTTCTAGTGACATAAACCTTTTCCGTGTTCTACTTGTGGATAAGAGAAATCTGTTTCAAGTTTAATGTTAATACCAAATTGATTTAGTAATAATTTTAAAAATGTTTCGGCATGTATATTTCGTATATAACAATGTTTTAGTTCATGCCATCGTCTCATATATTTTTTCATTGTGGATATCGAACCAATTGCAAATCGATCATTAACACCACCAAAATGATTTTCATTTGGAATAAGTATAGTTGAATTACTTGGAAGTACTATCTTTTGTAAAGTATTATTTAAAATTGAATCAGGCCGTGCACGTATAAAAAATTCATATCGAATATTCATCTTTTGTTCATATTCTTTAACTAAATCGAAGCATTCAGCAAGTCCCCATAACTGTTGATAATATGGTATAACATGTGACTTATCCATAGGTGGACGATAATGAGTACTACAATTAGATGGAATTTCTGAATCGATAATTCGATCTTCATAGAGTATGATTGTCGTAGACTTTAAATAAGAACGTGTTTGGCTCATTCGAACATTGTGTGGAACAGGTCCTTGTTTGAGTGATGAAGAAAGAAAAAGAAATGTGTCGATTTCACCTTGTACAAGATTACGAATAGTATCATGAGTTGGAGCCCATGCTTCTTGTATACATTCAGCTAAACCAGTTA